GAGCTCAACGTCTTGGGCTCCAGGTGATAATGATCTGTACCAACGATCTTGTGGGAATAAACAAACGTTGGTTGTATTGATTATATGACTGTATTTGATTGTGAAAGGGGGCCGAGGAGGATGCAATGCACGATGGACGGAATCCCAGCGTCAGCCATGGGACCAGGAGGAACAGCTCCGACTCAGACAGAGCTTCTCCACAGTAATGTGGAGAGTTTCCCATCAATTCCCTCGTTCAGATCAAAATCAACTCGGTCAGAGAGTTTCCCTTCTGACGAACTGCTGGTGCTGAAGAACAAAGCGCCCAGGTGGCATGAACAGCTCCAGTGCTGGTGCCTCAACTTCAATGGCCGAGTAACGGTTGCTTCTGTCAAAAACTTTCAGCTGGTCGCCTCCCCAGAGAACGAGAGCGTAATTCTCCAGTTCGGAAAAGTTGGCAAAGACGTGTTCACCATGGATTACCAGTACCCGATCTCGGCTTTCCAGGCTTTCGCCATATGCCTTAGCAGCTTCGACACCAAGTTAGCCTGTGAATAACCCGAAAACTTGGAAAGTTTTCATCTTTCTTTGTTTGTCAGCTAAAAGGAATTATGTTCGCCGTGGCAAATCACTGGAGAAGATTGATTTAGGCTTTCAAAGGTCTGGTGGCTGGTCATGTTACGAGATGAGCTTTTGAAGAGAAGAGAGTGGATCCTATTATGAATAGAGAGGGAGAGAGTTTAGATATTTGATTTGGGTCAGATTCTAATGGGCGTCTTTCTAAAATTTGGTGTGTTAAAGTTCATGGCTTCCGTCGTCGTTCTGTATAATATCAAATTACCTTAAATACCCCTAACTTTCTTAATATTTACAACAAAAACCAGTGTAAACTGTTCTCAGCTTCGCACTTGGACATCTTGTCCTTCTCACTTCAGTTTGCCGGCCTCCGACGCCCTACCGCCTTTGATTTTGCCATCTTTGCTGTCCGGTCTCCGCCAAGTTCTCTCTCGATCTTCACCGCTGGCGGGGTCTCTCCCCACGATCTCGTTGAGGGAGATTCTGTAAAGTTCGTCAGCAACGAATAAAATCGATCTTTTATGGTGGCAAAAGATGAGTGTCTTGAAGACTGTAACGATACGACGAAACTCTCAACCTGAAACAGATTTGTTATATACGTGAAAGTAGATATTTACAAAGAATAACGATTACAATTACGATTT